TCTGCAAGTAGCAACATATAAAATAGAGCAGGCTATAGTTTTTAAATGACATATATCTTAAATTCTATGTAACCTTTTAAACTTAATTATTTTTTTTTTTGTCTTTTTCATTTTTATCGGTACCAGGGATCGAACTCATGACCGCCTACTTGCAAGGCAGGTGCTTATGCCGCTGAGAGCTAAAGCCCCAGCCCCTAAACTTAATTCTTAAATAAATATTCAGACTTTCCTAGTGGCTGTCTTAAATCTCAGAGAAGAAAAAGTGTCCTCAGAAGTAATGATGGCTTCAATTTCTGCCACATGGCAAGACTGCTTGTATAATGAGACAAGATAGGTTTGTGGCAGGATGGATAGAGCTTTAGACCATAGCTACTTTAGTGTCTCTGTTCTCACATCCCATCATGACTACTATGTTAGCTCCTAAAGACCAACATACTGTTTCATCTAACTATGGAGCATATTTCCCAGTCTCATTCTTTTATAATTTTCTTACATGGGTTTTCATAGGCACAAAGGCTGTTTTTTTTTATTATTATCTTTTTCAACATAGAGGCTCACTGCAGTTCAGGCTCACCTTCTACTCACGTTGTAGCCCAGGCTGGTCTCGAACGCACAGCAGTTTCCCTGCCTCAGTTTCCTGAGTGCTAGAATTATAAGCATGTGCCATCAGACCAGCTTGGATATTTTTTAAATTTTAAAGATGTTAATATTTGATCAGATCCAACAAGGATGAACTTCTTTTTTTTTTTTGTCTTTTTCCTTTTTATCAGTACCGGGGATCGAACTCATGACCGCCTGCTTGCAAGGCAGGCGCTTATGCCGCTGAGCTAAATCCCCAGCCCCTAAGGATGAACTTCTTTTGGGAAGTTTTCTCCAGTGAGCATTGTATTTAAAATGTTGGGTTTATCATAGAGATTATGGCAAGGGTACTATTACACCTATTTGTGATAAAGCTACAGGACCATGTGAACCAAAGAATTAAGAGGGATAGCCTTTCTGAATTGTGTAGTATCTTTTTGTTTGCATTTTTTGGAGGTCAGGAAAGCCACTGTTACTGTTCTTTTTGAGTATAGATTTAGAAAAAAATCACTTGATATTACAGTTGCAAGGCAACTGTTATTACTCATAATAAATATATGTCTCACAATAAAATGTTTCTAAAACATCTGTAGGTGTATTTTAAGATGTGGTGAGTCCTTTTTATGAAATGAGCCCTATATGTTGAACTGGTTAAATATGCAGTGAGTTAGACTGTGTACATTTATTAATAAAGCAGCAGGGAGTAAAGGAGCACTAAGTTTTTTTTTCCTTAAAAGCTTACTTACAAAAGGTTTGTATAGGTAGAGTCTAAAGGGACAGTTAGTACAGTTGATGAGGAAGTGTGAGCTGACTAGGCTGGTTTCTTAGTATAGTATCACCAGACACAGTTCTCACCTGCTTTTACCCTGGATCCACATAAAGACACAAGGGTTTACTTGTACATTTCTTAAGGTCTCTGTCCCCTGGAGTAGACTAGAAACAGGCCATAGGTCTTTATGTAGTTCCTATATATTGGAAGATTTGGTAATAAGAGGAACATTGCTCTACATTTAGGGATACTAGAGCTTTAAGCTTTTATTTCTATACTCATTTTAGGTTACAGCTCATTGAAGGGGGATATGAAACAGAGTAGAAATCTACTCTGTTTCAAGCCAGCTGTGACATTTGGCCCCTAAAATGTCTGTCTTTGGGGAGGGATTTACTTGTTACACTGAAAAATGTGGGAGGGACTTCCTCCCTGGCCTCATTTACAGACATAGGGATGCTTCTATTGCTTTTTTATTTTCCCTAAGCTGAAATGGAAACTAATTCTATACAAAAGAAATATTGATTGCCTTCATAAATTGCTTGCCTTTAGTGTCTTATAATATGCAGTAAGATAAGATTCTGCATATATTTAATATGTCAAATATTAAACTTTTAAGATTTTTTGAAATTAAATTTAGTTCACATTTGCTTAGCCTTCACAGTTGATCACATAGCATGGTCATCCACTCACAGCTTAAAAAATACAGGGAGCATCGGAGAGAATGGGTAAAGTAAAATTTTGATGTTTTTAAAATAGCACCTAAGTCTATGAAAGTTAATTTGGTTTATTTGTATGGGTGGGACAGAGTGGGTGGTAATTGGCGGGTGAGTGTCTGGAAAATAGCATGCACAATGTGAGATACCACCTAGGTTAAGGTTTTAAGTGTTAACTCCTAAAATTTAAGTCAGTGTCAGAAAAGGCAGGTTCATAAAAGACAGTATTACTAAATATAATGGGATTATTTTTCCCTATCAAGAGATTGAAGGGGAATTTTGAGAAGAGCAGTATTGAGTAGTTGGGACAGGAGCCCTTTTTTAGATTGGCCTGTTTGTATTCCCCAAGTGAAGTTGTCTGATTCAGTACTACCTCAGGCTCTATTACGTTGGTGAAAGACCTGGTTAGAAATACTAAGCATGCTAGCTTTTATTGTATAAGTGTTTTTAAATAAAGGTTTCAATTCATGATATCCATGAAAGTTTGAACAAAAGAGGGAGATAATAGAGTAAGAAGTATTAATAGATTAATAGACCTTCTGATGCTTCTATTAAAATGAAATACTCTTTTGCCTGCCAAAATTCTAAATCGTATTTCTTTTGTCTTTTTGAGACATGGTTTCTCTATGCAGTTTAGGCTGGCTTTGCATTCACTTCATAGTCCAGGCTGGTTTCCAATTTGCAACGGACCTCCTTCCGTGGCCTCTCAAATATTGGGATTACATGCGTGTGCCACTATACCCAGCTTAAATCAAATTTCTAATTCTAAAAACTTGGCATGGTAGTATTTGCAAAGCCTAGTTAATTATTGTGGAGGTTATAGGACAGAGTCACCATGTTTATGTAGGTAGGACAGTTTTTTGTTATTGACTTGAATAACTTGATTAATCTCTGCACCATTAAAAATTTTAAAAAACTTTTGTTTATATTACTAAGAATCTGGACGAGAAAATAAGGACAGTAAATTTTACCCTCAAAATGTTATTTTGGCCTCAATTTTGCTGTTCCTCTACCTGAGTCCATTTGCCAAAGCCAAATAAGATTTACTTACTGATCCCCAAACCTTGCCTGTCAGCTTTGTTAAAGATACTACTTTTGTTGGAATATTCTTCTCTTTTCCTTTACTCTAAATCCTGTCTGTTTTTCAAATTTTGGCTTCTGCTTACTACATGAAGCCTTTCTCAGCCTCTCCAAATGTTGATGATCATTCTGGTTTTAAAATTCTTTACTGTCTATTCAAAACATGCATTTCACACTAATTGTTAATTATGTATCCTGTTTGTCTACTGAAATGTGGGCTCCTTGAAGGGTAGAGCAGTGCTTATGTATGCTGTCTGTAACTCCATTGCTGCACAGAGAATAGAATCACTGATAGGTTGGATTCTGTGATTTGAAGCCCATGTCAGTGTGACAGAGTAAATCTCCTCTTTTTAGATGCTATATGAGAAGTCTTTTAGGTGAGTAATTCACACAATTTAGTTATTTTTATATGACTACATCTCCCCCCCCCCCGAAATGAAGTGCATTGAGTTCTTAAGATATTTCCTTGTATTATTAAGGTGCTTTCTTTCATATTTGTTCCATGTTTGTAGTGTTTTTTGGGGGGGGGAGGGTGCTGTTTTATCTAGTTTCTTTTGAAAAACATGGTTTGGGCCAGATATTTTGATGGAAACCAAAATTGCCAATATTGCTATTTTAAAATTCTGTGTTTAACCAAATGAGGCGTTTATGGCATAAACCTGTGTAAATGTATTAACTACCGCATTATAGCCAAATTGTATTAAAATGTTAATCTTAAAGTCCCTTATTTTATTTTTTTCATTTTTTAAAAATCCATTTTATTTCAAGGAGAAAAAGAAAAAAAAACAAACAAAAATTTCAAAACATGTCAATCCGGATAAAGTCCTTTAAATAGAACTTTTTAACATATCAATGAACGATCCTCACTTGCTAAGTCCCTTGCTGAGTATTTCTGTATCTTGAATTAGGTTTATTCATTTTTTTAAGGATTTCTATAATAGATGATACTTTTTTTCTAATTTTTTTTTTTTTTTTTTGGTCTTTTTCGTTTTTTATCGGTACCAGGGATCAAACTCACGACTGCCTGCTTGCAAGGCAGGCGCTTATGCCGCTGAGCTAAATCCCCAGCCCCTAATGGATGATCCTTGATGGCTTTCATTATGTTTGCTATAGTTATCAGGTGTTTGTGAAGCAGCCTTTCACTTGCAGTGAGGAGTTATTTTTAAATAACTTTAGATTTATAGACTTTCTTTTTAAAAAAGCTTACCGCTTTTGCTATATTCATATTTGCAATTGTTCATATTTTAACTGATAAGAGTGTCTTCAGGGCACATATACCTTAGTATTAGATTTAATGTGATTTTTTTCTAAGGCCTAGCTTATACTCTTGAGTCATAAGTTTTACAAGCACTATTGTTGCATTGCCAAATAGCATAGATACTTATAGTGAGGGGACTCCTGGCTATGTAAGATTTTTTTTTGTTTTCCTAATTTAAAAAAATTTATCATTTTTAAAGTCCTTTAATGTAATTAGGGTACAGATTTAAAGCAAAAAAGATTTTTTTTCCTTAAGTGATAGGAAACAAAGTCTCTACTATGTAGCTTGGACATTCTGGTGAGCTTATCACAGTGCCATCCTAACATGAAGTTGAGGTACTTAATTATCTTACGCTTTTAAAGAAACTTTTCCTTTAAACCTCAGTTGACCTTGGACTTTTACTTGTGGTTAGGTGTCTTCTCTAGGGTTACACTTGTTAAATCAATATCAAAAAAAATTAATACACTTTGATTTTGTTCACTTTTGTTTTCATATACAAGAATCTTCAGTCAACATGTACTTCTAGATGCTGTATTGAAATTGCTGGCAGAGTCTATTCTATACAAACTGAACAATCTGGCCCCTTGTTTTATTTGTAAAGGTTCAATGTATCTATGCCTGCCTACTTCAATCTGCAAGGGAGTGTCAGAAAGGCCCCGCATTCGCCGAGCCGTGAGTTATCACTAACTTTTCAGATGTGTTAATGAATGTGGAACAAAAGCAGTTGTGTTTAAAAGGAAAAAGGGACCATCAAAATAACTTTTATTATAGTAGCAGGCGTGAACACTAAATGAATTATTCCAAATTGTGTCAAAAATAACCTACTAGAGACTAGCCTCTAGAAAACCTATTGTTGAACTGCTCTGAAGCTATCATTTTAGCTGTAAATTTTTGTTTTAAATGTGTATACCCAGTTGCAAATTAAAATATTCTTTAAATATTTTTAACCAAGGTAGAACAATGTGAACAGCATTTAACCCCACAGTGTTTTCATTGAATTTAAGCTCTTCAATATAAGAGTATTTGAAAGGTGAAGTTTTAACCTTTTTTTGTCACACGTGAAAACACAAATGAATTTGAATGACTGAATCACTTCCTAGGTGAAAGTTTTTGGAGAGCTCCAGGCATTGTCAGCTGTAGAGGTATATTTATGCACTCTTGGTACCAATAGTTTTTGCTTCAGTAATTCACCAGTAGGTTTTCGTTTTTAATGGTGATACCAATTTAAGGCTAAAATAAAACACCGTTTTTTAGGGATTATAATTTTATATAGAAAGAGGAAACATCCTTATGAGTTTGTTTTCCCCCCCAGAGATTCTAAGCAAAAAATTATAACACATATTTTTTTATTAGAGCTAGTTACTCTTTCTTTTTCATAGATTCCTTAAAATTTTGAGTAGATACCACATTAGATAAGCAGGTTGGATGCTTCTGTTGCTTTGGAGGTGTTTTGCTTTATATGAAGACAGAATAAATGTAAATGTACCCAGTTTGGCAATATATAGCACAGACCACATAAAACTTGGAGCTGTGGAACCTTTGGAGGCATTAGAAAGTTAACATTTCATTTAGGCAATGTGCCTTTGTTTCACTGGTGTGTAAGTCCTTCTTCCAGGTTTGTACGCTCTTAAATGCGTTATTCTACCCTCTCTAACTCCTCTCAGCAGCAAAAGGGAGACACTTCAGCTGGAACAAAATAGTGGAAGAAATGGCGTCTGGGGTTCAGTGGGGATTCGCAGTGTGTATGCAATGTTTGCAAGATTATTTTCTATGTTTTTCAATTAATGTAAATAATTACAAAATAAATCAATGCTTACTGTCAAGAAGGGAACATTGAATTCCAGTAGAAACTCTCTTAGTGGGTCTGCTGCAATTGCTTAACCTCTTGGGGCCTCAGTTTTCTTCATCTGCAATATGAAGGAGTTGGACTTGATAAACTTTTAAAGTCCATTCCTGCTCTAAAATCCTATGCTTTCCTGAAGTATTCTATTTAACAGAATGCATTGCTTTCCCACTTTGACTGTTTGAATTACATGTGCAGTACCCATACTGCAACTGCATGTTGTCTAAAGTAGTTTTTCTATAGGATGTTATACAAAAGCTAATCCCTCTTGACCTGATTTATAAATGTGTGTGTGTATAGCCACACATAAAAAGCTAGTGATACTAGGGCTCTCAGAAAATAAATACTTTCCAATTGTCTAACCTTGTGTGTTATTAACTTTTCTATATTACAGGAGACACTACTCGTCAGCGGATCAAATTCAGTGATGACAGAGTATGCAAGAGCCACCTTCTCAACTGTTGCCCCCATGATGTCCTTTCTGGAACCGTACGTGTTCATTAAATCTATTTGATTACTGGTATACTACAGAGATGAACTGTGTACAAGGTTTTAATTTTTTTGTTAAATTATTAAGCAGTATTTTAAATAGTTGCCAGAGGAGGGGTTTGTATCCCTTATGTTTGTTTACTTAGATTGATAATTTAAATCTGTAATAATTGATTTCCTCACAGAATTAATTGATTGTATCCTTTTTCCATTCTTCAGAACAGTTTTTTAAAAGCACTTATTTGGAATACAGAGATAGTAAGGATATTGTACAGCATTACACTTTTAGTTTAGAAATAATTGATTTTTAAATTTTACTGTTAAATGGAGAGTTTTACCCAAAAGTAATTTACATTTTTGTTAAGATTTATGCACATTTGCATTGTGAAATCAGTGAGAAAAATATTAATACTGAAATCTGTACAGTTTAGTTTGAGAGTAATGTCACATAAAATTGTCTTGCTAGCTCCTGTACATCAGTCTCAATTTAGATTTTGTCTGTGGATATGTTGATCTTAGAGTATTTTACTTTATTTGCTTTTTTTTGTTGGTATTAGGGGTTGAACTCATGACCTCGTACTTTCCAGGCAGACACTTATGCCACTGAGCTAAATTCCCAGCCCTTATTTGTCTTTTTGAGGCAATGTTCTACTGTGGAGTTTAGAGTGGCCTTGACGTCACTTTGCATCCAGGCTGACTTTGAACTTGCAGCAGTCCTCCTGCCTTAGCCTCTAGAGTGCTGGGATCACGGGAGGATACCACCATGCCCAGATGGAGTATCATTTTAAATTTAGAAAATATAACACTTGACTGTGGTCGTGCTTAAAATGGAACAAAAATTTAACTCTTTAGGCTTTTGGATTTGACTGAAATGATTTTGAGAGCTGTACTTTATGATAGTGGGAGCTAGTAGGGGCTAAATCTTGAGCTGGCTTTATTTCTCATTTGCAAAAAATGACTGAAATTAAGAAAAAATTTCCTCTGGGAATGATTTTCCTCCCTTAGCCACAGATGTCTAAATGAGTGGTTTGTTTTGGTAAGAAGTATTAAATTAAGGGCATATCTCAAACAGAAAACTATCCAGGGATATACAACAAGAAGTACTGCTGTTGTTTTCAAAGACAGTTGAAAGTGTATTATGGTTAATAAATTTGTTTTTAAATGTTCTTCTGAAAGCTCAATACCACAAAGAAATCTTGTTTTGTTTTTTTTTTTAAATATTGTTTCTGATTAGGATTGTGATTTATAATATCGGACAATAGCCTCTTACATCTATTCTTTTAGTTCCTCAAATTATTTTCTGCTGGGCTGTAATGCATTTGAAATCTATAATTGTATACTATAAAAATTTCCACATTTACTAAGTAATTTTTTTAAAAATTTTTGGTATCCCAAATCATATTCAGAATGTTGTGCTTGCCAGGCAGGTACTTTCTTGCTGAGCTATATCCCTGACCCAAAGTGGTTTTATATAAAGGCTCTAAATTCTCACTTCAGATAAATTTAGAGTACATTAGTAAAATGGCAGAATTTTGCTTTTTTTTTTTTTTTTTTTAACTTTTTAATACTCTAAAATTAACCATACAAAATTTTGACCTATTATAATTTTTGTAGTATGACATAAATAATAAAATCTAACTTTGCAATATGCTTTGCATTTGATGATTTATATAATGAAGCTAAGTTTTCCCTTTGAACCTATGGTCGTGAGCACGTTAGGCAAGTACTCTATGCTTGTTTTATATCCCCAGCCCTCATTTATTTTTTAAAAGAATTGTGGGAGGTATACCATTCATAGTTATAGATTGGAAATTAGTAACTTTATATCAAAGTCATTCAGCTCTGTTGATGTGAAGTAAAATTGGAATCAATGTTCAATTTTTGAAAAACATTTCTGATGCTTTCATTAAAGCTTACATTTGATATCTCAAACGTAAGCAGAGGAAAAAACATAAGCAGAGGGAGAATAGTCTAAGCACTCATGGACTTAATATTTATCACTCAGCTTTAACAATTAGTAACATTTTGATATTCTTCAAACACAAATTATCTTATCTATAGTCTTGTCCATCAGGCTTTCTATTTTGTAGGGACTTTTTATTTTACTTTATTTTGCTTTTATGGTACTGGGGATTGAACTCAACTTCTGTGCCTGTGAGGCTGGAGCTTGTGCCACTGAGCTGTATCCCTGGCCCTTTTTTTTGGAGACAGAGTCTTGCTTTGTAATTCAGGCTATTCTTGGACTCACTCTGTAAAGGCTGCCCTCACACAGCGATTCTTCTGCCTCAGCCGCCTGAGTGCTGGGATTACAGGAATGCACCATGCCCATGGAGAATTCTTTTCTAAGAGATAATTTTGAGATATCTCACTGAGTTGCCCAGACTGACCTTGAGTTTGAAATCCTTCTGCTTCAGCCTCTGTGGATTAGCTAGGATTACAGATGTGCACCACTATGCATGGCTTCTGTAGGGAATTCATACTTTTGTCTCTGTTAATTAAAGACCATGGATCGTTGGTCTTAGGCCTTTTTGTAACGTTCTTACTGATGGATTGATTATAAAATGCACATTTTATCAGATTTTAAATTCTCTGAGCCAGGTGAATCCTAGCACTTTCTGAGGCTGGAGGATTGCTGTCTCAAAAAAAAGACAGTATTTTCCTATCATAAAATTTAAGATGCATGTTTTACAGATTTTTTTCTGTTCAGTTTTTTTTGAGACAGGGTCTCACTATATAGTCCAGGCTGGCCTTTGAACTAATTTAGGTAGCCCATGTTGACCACAAATTTGAGCAGTCCTCCTACTTCAGCCTCTGGAGTGCTAGGATTATAGGCGCAAACCACTGTGCATGGCTAGAAAATTACTGTTGAGTAGCATTTTTCTTGTGGTATGGAACATAAAGATGAGGCTTAAAAATGATAATGTCTTAGATTATATGGTAAATAGATAAAGCAAAGTCTTATAAAGGCACTTCCAGAGGGGACTCTAGGAAACAAATCTCTCTTGGCAGTGTGATACGTAGAATTATAATATGGGTGGTTCACAGTAGTTGTGATGCTCCTTAAGAATACAAAGTTTTGAGAATTAGGATCTTTTTTGTGAGAGTAATTAGAGTTGTCACAGGAGTTGAAGTATCTTCAAAACCTGACAGTTGTGGTAATGTGACTGCTCATGACCTTTACTTACTTACTTACTTATTTATTTATGTTTTTGGTACTGGGGATCGAACTCATGACATCCTGCTTGCCAGGCAGGTGCTTATGCCGCTGAGCTAAATCCCCAGCCCCATGACTAATTCTTAAACTAACAACTTAATCAGGGAGGTATAAAATGTAGAACAAAGAAACAGTCTTTGAGTTAAGACTTAGGGGGAGTAATGCGAATTGAACTCAGAACTTTGCACTTGCTAGGCAGACGGTGATTTTTTTTTTTTTTTTTTTTTAAGAAGCATGATTTTTTTTTGTTTGTTTGTTTGTTTCTTTGACAATACTGGGGATTGAATGCAAGGTCTTGGCACATGTTTCTATGCAAACATTCTACCCCTGAGCCCCAACTCTTAATTTTATTTTGAGACAGAATTTCAGTAAGTTGCCCAGGCTAGTCTTATAGTTGGAATCCTCTTGCTTCAGCTTCGCTAGTAACTGGGACCACAGGTTTGTACCACCCAACTCTTTTCTGTCTTTTAGAAATGATTAGATGTGGTAGTGTTCATTGTCAGAAATTCTGAATTGGTATTATGGTGCCCAAGTAGGTTCTGAATTTTATTCAAAGGATAGCTTAATCACTGGTCTTTTTGAGAGTGCATGTTTAAAAGAGCCATGAAAATAAAGACAAGCAGAATAAGTGGTAAGAAATAGATCTACACAAAAATTTTTAAATTAGCCATAGAATGTGTTTTTTTTTTTGGGGGGGGGTACTGGAGATTGAACTCAAAACCTTGCATTTGCCAAGCAGGCACTTATGCCACTGAGTTAAACCCCCAGCCCAGAATGTGTTTTTTGACAGGGTGATTATATTTTTCAGTGTTATTTGCCCAACATCTAGAATAGGGTCTTGTCTCTTCTATTTTCTTCTCTTTTCTCCTCCCTTCTTCTCTCTTCTCACTTGTCTTTCTCCTCTCATCTCTCTCTTTTCTCTCCCTCCTGTCCCCTGAAGTCATCTCTTCAGCAAATGAATGTACTTGATTAAATAAAAGAAAATAATTTTAAATGTAAAAGTTAAAACTTTCAAGAAGTGATTTAACTTGTAGTGAGAACTTGTCTCAAAATAAAAATGACTACAAGTATAACTCAGTGCACAGTGGTCCTACTTTCAGTCCCTAGTTCTACAAACAAAAAAGATTGGATTAGCTTTCATTTGAGAGTGGTGCTGGTCAATTCATTTCTATGAATATTTGACTTGTACCTGCTGTGTGCCATGTGCTGTGATTTAGTGGTGGAGACACTGAAGTGGAAATGAGTTTCTGTTGTGATGATAGGAACTAACAGTCGGATACAGGAAACATGCTATGCAGTGTGGGAAGGAGTGGCTTCAGGTGGTCAGGAATGTTATGCAGAATAGCATGGTTAGGGGTTCAGTGCCTGGCATCTGTCAAGGCAGAGGCCAAGGCAAGGGGCCACTCTGACAAGGTGGTTGTAAGGAACCTTTTCAGTGAAGTGACATTCAAAGACATTTGCATGTTGAGAAGAACCTAGTCCTTTTTTTAAAAATAGAGATCTTTTTTACTTTCATACATGTGACAAGATTTTATACCAAGAATATTCAGTTAAATAGTACAAATTTACATTCATGAGGAATGTTTTTTAAAAAAATGAAAACCCCACCTCTTGTGATCTGCAGTCCTAACATTTTACAGAATAGGGAAGAGAGGAATCAAAAGCATCTTTCCTAAGAAAGATGACTTAAAGCTAGTTATTTCTGAGGAAACATTAATTCGCCACGTACTGTCCTACACAGAAAGTTATGGCAGCTTCATATTGTATATGGTAGAAAACTAAAACC